GGTGCCTTTGGTTAATATGATCATACTAGAGGCCCGGTACACGAATTCTGTCAGGCTGGGCTGGCTGGGGTGAGGGGCTGAGGGAGGTTTTTTTTGGGGGGGGGGTGCAATCGGGGCCCAGATCAGGCCGGTTGGCTGCCACAGTGCGTGTCATAGCGACCAGTCCCTCCCGTCGTTTCAGTTCTTCCATTGTTCTGGTAGCTTGGCTTTTATATGTATACTAGAGGCCTGGTGCACAAAAATTTGTGCACTCGGTGGGGGGGGGGGGGGGGGGGGGGAGGCGTCCCTCAGCCCGGCCTGTGCCCTCTTACAGTCTGGGACCCCGCGGGAGATAACGACCTGCTGGCTCAGGCCTGCTCCCGGGTGGCAGAGGGCAGGCCTAATCCCTAGGTGCAGCCCCTGGTCGGGCTCAGAGCAGGGCCGATTGGGGGGTTGGGGCACCGTCCCCTGTCACACTCAAGGCAGGGTCGATGGGGAGGTTGTGGCGCCACCCCCTGTCACACACAGAGCAGGGTCCATCAGGGGGTTTGGGGCTCCGTACCCTGTCACGCACAGAGCAGGGCCAATCAGGGGGTTGGGGAGCTTCCCCCTGTCACTCACAGAGCAGGGCCCATCAGGGAGTTGAGGAGCTCCCCCCTGTCACTCACAGAGTAGGGCCGATAGGGGAGTTGGAGCACCGCCCCCTGTCACACACAGAGCCACAGGGCGATCAGGAGGTTTGGGCGCTGGCCCCTGTCACGCTGATTCCGGTGCCAGGAGGCCTCGCAGCTCTGCTGATCCCGGTGCTGGGAGGCATATTACCCTTTTACTATATAGAATAGAGGCCTGGTGCATGGTTGGGGGCTGGCTGGTTTGCCCTGAAGGGTGCCCTGGATCAGGGAGGGGGTCCCCAATGGGGAGCCTGGCCCGCCTGGGTGAGGGGAAGATGGCTGTTTGCAGCTGGTCACATACCCTTCAGGGTGGGGTTCCCCACTGGGGTGTCTGGCCAGCCTGGGTGAGGGGCTGAGGGCTGTTTTCAGGCTAGGACTGAAGCTCCCAGCTGCTCCTTTTTTCCTTTTTGTTTTTTTTATTCTGGGCCAGCTTTAGGTCTGGCTCCAGCTCTGAGGCCTCAGCTGCTGAAAGTAGGTATCTGGTTTGTTTAGGTTCTATCATCGAAACTCTGTATCAACTCCAGCTCTGAGATCCCGGGCTCGCTGAAAGCAGGTTTCTGGGGTTTTGTTTAGCTTCTATATTTGTTACAATGTTTCTTAAACTGCAGACTCAGAGGCCGGCAAGGCAGGCGGGGGACATTGGGTTTCTCCATCACTGAAGCAAGCAAGCCTCATGTTAGTTTCAAGCTGCCTGGCTGTCGGCCGCCATCTTGGCTGGCAGTTAATTTGCATATCGCCCTGATTAGCCAATGGGTAGGGTAGCGGTCGTATGCCAATTACCATGTTTCTCTTTTATTAGATAGGATAGATATGTTTCAGGTATGGATTTCTATGTTACAAGATCCATATGTTGCACTGTGTGCCCACTACCCAAAGTCAGATCTTCTATCATCATCATATGTTAGAACCCCCTTCACTACCCATGCCATTTCCTCTGGCAGCTACCGCACTGCTGTTTGTGTTCACAAGTTTCAGTTTTATATCCCACATATGCGTGAAATCATATGGTTCTTAGCTTTTTCATCACTTTGATCTGCAGATTGCATACCTTGTAAATATTCTGTGTGCAGGAGCGGGGAAGACATTTTTATCCTGTTTTACAAAAAAAAAAAAGAAATAGTTAAATAGAATTAAGTACCAATTTATTTCACTCTATGAGAGGCAAAAAGCGACCTGGGGGGAAAAGTAAGTAGAAAGTCAAAAGCATTGGCAGTAGTTAAAGATGATGGCTGGTTTTGATGGCTGTCGGCCTGGTTAGGACAACTACTGTAAAACATGCAGTGAACAATCTGCTCCATTGTCCTGTCCTTTCCTGTCAAGGGGAGGGAGCGGGTGCTCTGGGCACAGGATGTCAGAAAGGAAGAGAGGAAATGGAAAAGGGAGCCGAGAGATAAAGAGAGACTCTGTGTTCCCCGTGCATTTGCAGGCCCTCCCTCTTCTGTGGGACAGTCTGGGCACCGTGTGTGTCCCTGTGTATACAGAAGTGGTCCCTGAGGCCCCATCGCTGTCACATTGCTGCACAATCCTCAGCTTAGGAGAACAGTGTTGGAGGTTGTTAGCACATCTCCCTCTGGAAACGAAACTGGCTCAGCAGCAACAAGGCAATTCCATAGGGGATCTGTCTCTCCTCCCTCGCTTGGATAATGGCTGTTCCCTGATACCCTCCCTGGCATTACATTGCACACAGTCCTAAACAGCTGGGCTGCTAAGATGACTTAAAGAGAAGAGAGAGTGGGCTGTTCACCGTGTGTATGTAATGTATTCATAATAAATCTCTCAATGAGGAGGTATAAAGAGTTCCTGTTTTTTTTTACAGCCAAAGAACAGCCAAAGGAAGCAGAGCATTAGGCAGGTATCCAGCGAGTGTCATGAACAGAAACAACCAATATTGGAAATCCAGGGGGGGCTTGCTCCACATTTCTAGTAGTAACAGCATTTTTTTTACCTGAAATATGCTAGTAATTTTGTTGCTTGCAAAATTGGTTTTGCCTAATGATTGGTAAATATATTTTTTCTTAATAGTTACTGGATATTCTCCATGTTCTGGAAACTACATAAAAATAAAGCATTGCTTGTCACTTTTTTTTTCCTTTTTCACTTTATTTCTGAGAAGATAAAATAGTAGAAGATAAAGCCATCCCAGAATGATTTATTTTCCAGAAAGTTGAAATAATAAAGCAAAAAGAGTAAAGTTTTGTGAAGTTCTCTCTCTATATATATATTTTTTTTGTTTTTTTGCGGGGGTGGGGGGAGAGAGAAGGGGGAAAGAGGGAGAGAGGGAAGCATCGATGCAAGAGAGACACATCAATTGGTTGCCTCCCATCAGCCCATCCCAGATAGTAGGTTCAATTCTGCGCCTCAACTGGGACCAGGAATTGAACCTACTACCCTTCAGTCCACAGGCTGACACTCTAACCACTGAGCAAAAGTGACCAGGGCAAGTTCTACATATTATATATGAAATGCATACTTTGAGATTTAGTAAAACCGGTAACATAATCAACTAGTGTGAAATAAGCATTTTAATTTGTTAAAGATAATTTTCACCTTAGAAATATTTTCTCACCAAAGTTAGAAATGTGTCTCTCATGCTCACTTATACTTTACTAGAGGCTTGTGCACCGGCGGAGGGGGAGGTCCCTCAGCCCAGCTTGCCCGCATCACATACTGGGAGCCCTAGGGGATGTCCTACTACCTGCTCCCTGCTCCCCTCAGGGAGTGGGCCTAAGCCACAGTCTGGCCTCCCTTTGCGGGTTGGCGGCGTGAGTGTGGGCAGACGCCGCAGCGTCCGGGTCTGCCGTTGGGATCGGGTCCCAGGTGAGTGCAGGCAGATGCCGCAGCCGCCCCGCCGGCCCACGTAATCGGGTCCCGGGCGACCGCCGGCACTCATGCCCTCAACCTGCTCTCCGATGGTGCTGTATCATCCTGCCTGCAATATGCAAATTAGCCACCATCTTTTTTGGCGGTTAACTGCCATCTTAGTTGGCAGTTAATTTGCATATCTCGCTGATTAGCCAATGAAAAGGGTATCGGTCGTACACCAATTACCATTTTTGTCTTTTATTAGATAGGATAACAATAAGATCATCTCAAGCAGAGGATGGGAACATGCTTTTGATCATTTAATAGCAGATTCGGCTCATTAATAGATGAGTTGAAATGAAGCCATATAACTAACCCATGTTGAACTTTGCAGAATGTTCATCTCATCTGTCAAGAAATCATTCCTATGGACTTTTTATTTAGTAAAGTTTTATTTCTCAAAATGTATAGCTGGTGGGACCTGTTGCTCATGCATCTTCACCAGCAGCTAGGACATCCCCACCCTTGGTGTTTCTGGTGTAAATTACTTGAGCTCTGTGCTTTGAAGCTAGTTTAATAAGTCCTTTACTATGGAGCTCCTGAAGGACTGCCCTGGCCCAGGCACCACAGATATGCAGTCTCTCAGAGACAGCAGCTGGCTATAAGCTTATAGTTGGGAACTTCCTTACAGAGTTTGTCATATGTTGCTTTGTCAAACGAGACTAGGTTATTGAGCTTGTCCCGATTGTACCTTTGGACCACGTCTTCTTTTGTTCTTGCTCCCAGATTTGTTCACTGGGTCTTTGTCCTTCTTTGCCAACTTTTCAGTATCTTTCTTCGTGTTGTTGTCCTTGAGTGGCATAGTGAACTTGAAGAGCAGCTGCTACCACGGCAGCCTCGATAAGATGTCCCCTACGGACTCATTTTACAATAGTAAAATAGTATTTACAAAAGCACAAAAAATAGTCGGAATTTTTAAACAATTCTGCCTTTCCTAGAATTTAGATGCCTATCCCAGCATTGCTGAGATGGACATTGAGTTTTCGTACCCTCTGCTTCAATGGCTGTGTGAATGACATTGGTATGCCACCATTAAGCACTCCTCTGTGAGGGACACTCAAGCCACCTCCAGTTTGTCTCTGTTATGAATATTCTCCAGCACACATTTGTTTTTCCAAAATTAGTTTATTTCCTCAAAATAGCTCTCCTGAAATGAAATGACTAGATCAAGCGCTATGATTATTTTCAATCTCCTCTTTCCAAGCATATTTCTAAATAGCTTTCCAAACGGGTATTTATTAGTTTACCTTACACTAGCAATATATGAGGATTATAGTTTTACCCCAGGCTTAACAAGCTGCTAAATGCGACATGACTTTTATTTGTGCTTATTTCATTCCTAGAAAGCATGAAAAATTTTGCAATTATTTGTTTACAATTTTTTGGTGTGTATTTTTCTCCTAATTTTTGTTTGTTTTCCTACCAATTGGCATATTTTTTGCCAGGTCCAGTCTCAACTGTTTTCCTCACCTTTATTCCTCTGTGTAGGCTCCCATGATTCGTTCAGCTACTGGGTAGATGAGAAATCCCCAGTGGGGCCTGACCAAACCCGAGCTGTCATGCGCCTTGCCAGGATCTCCTTGGTGAAGAAGCTAATGAAGAAATGGTCTGTGACTCAGAACCTGACCTTCCGAGAGCAGCTCGATGCTGGGATCCGCTACTTTGACCTGCGTGTGTCCTCCAAGCCAGGGGATACCGACCAGGAGATCTACTTCATCCACGGACTTTTTGGCATCAAGGTCTGGGATGGGCTGATGGAGATTGACTCGTTTCTTACGCAGCACCCCCGAGAGATTGTCTTCTTGGATTTCAACCACTTCTATGCCATGGATGAGGCCCATCACAAATATCTGGTTCACCGGATGCAGGAGGCCTTTGGAAACAAGCTGTGCTCGGCCTGCAATGTGGAGAGTCTGACCCTGCAGATCCTGTGGGAGAAGAAGTGCCAGGTAGGAGAACCGAGATGAGAGAACAGGACTGTTTCTGCCTCTTTTGTATCGCCAGCTGTAAGACGGCTCATTGCAGGGCTCTTAGTCTAGAAGGCATAGATGGTTTGGAATATTAAACATACTCACACAAGCTCCTGGGCTCCAGGATAGCTTCAAGGACTTCCCTGGATGCCCTTAACCTGGGATGAACACCTGCCAAGTATTTAAAACTTTATGGCAACCTGTTTGGCATCTAAATTGACTTTGAATGGCCTGGCCAGAACCAGCCCAAGCAAAGTTGTGAAATGGACCAGTTGGTCATACCATTTTACTTTCTCCCATAAAGTCCACTTTTAACCCCCCTGCTTGCCCTCAGGGGCAGTCCCTTCCATCCTGCCTTCCACTCAATGTCAGATCATTCCTGCCAAGTACTGATTGATAAGTAAAAACATCAGCTGACAAAGGCATGTGAAGTGATCCTTTCAGGTGTGTTAATATTTTAAAAGGCCATCTTCACAGAATTTGGGTCACAGTGGGAACGAACTAAGAAAGGAAGAGCCCATGGGAGGGATTCAGGCCTGGAGACTGATCCCCAGTTGCTTATGCTGAGAAGCGTCCCCAAACCTAGACCCGGGAGGCATATACCCAAGGAAAGGAATGCGGGCCTCAGATATATTCTGCTCTGATCCCAAAAAATAGTAGATAGTGGGGAACAAGAGCTCCAGGAATGGTCAGCTTCCAATTTAGACTCTCTTTAAAAAGAAAAAAAAAAAGGACTTTTGATTCATAATTGCTCACTTGCTCAGATACATTAACCAAAACATCTTAAAGAGGCAGTTATTAACTTATGGAAGAGCTTTTAATTAAAAATCTATTAAAGATTATTCACTTGCAAATACGTTTTGAACACCAAGTATGTGCTAAGTGAACACCAGTCTAAGCACTTGGAATAAAGTAGTAAATGAAACAAAGATCCTTGCCTCTTAATGGAACTTTCATTCAGGTGGAGGGAGACAGTTCATAGATAGTAAACATAATAAACACATTCCATATAATGCAGAGAGTGGTAAGAGCCATGAAGAAGAAAGGTGAGCTGGTGAGGGGAGCCAGGGTTCTGTGGGCTGGCGAGTTGGTCAGTTTTAATTAGGTCTGTCAGGGCAGCCCTCATTGCAAGATGGCATGGGCGGGAGTTAGTCACATGGGCATTGGAGGAAGAGCTTTCCCAGGAGTGGAGCAGCCCTGGCAGAGCCCTCAGCAAGAGTGTGCCAACATCTTTGAGGAAAAGCAAGGGGCACTGGAGAGCAGAGCCAGCCATGGAGGAGGTCAGAGGAAGAATGGCTGATTATGTGGGCCTGTGGCACCGTAAGGACTGGGCTTGTACTCTGAGTGAAGGTTTCTGAGCACAGGGTGCTGGGACCTGACTTAGTGGTAATGGTCTCCCTCTGGTTACCAGGAAGAGACCAGGAATAGGGAGAGGGGACGAAGAGAGGAAACCAGGGAGGAGACTGTTGTTGGGAAGTGGTCAGATTCTGAACTTATCAGAAGGGGGAGCCAACAGGGTTGCCTAATGGTTGAGGTTCAGGGTGTGAAAGGGAGTGAGGTTCTAGGATAACTCCCAGGTTTGACCTGAGTAATTGGAAACACTGGATTGTTTTATACACTCATAAAAGCGCTTAAGTCCTTAGACTCACAGAGGGTAATGAGTTAAGTCTTAGTATCTGTTAAATTTATCTAAGCTATTTTTCCTCAGAAAAATATGTGTAAGTGATGGTTTGCCAAATATTTACTACAACCCTTCCTCCAAACCTGAGTTTATATACATTTAGACTCACAGGTCTCATTCGGAGAGTTTGTTTTTTTTTTTTTACCCCTGTGGAGTCTCTCTCTTACAATATTAAATAACTGGTGCCCCAGTGCATGGATTTGTGCACATTGAAAGGAAATTAATTAGAAGGTACCCAGCAGGGCAGGACTGGGCGAGACAGGCCAGACACACCCTGGAGCCAACCTCCTGTGGTCCCTCCCTGGCCAGCTGCACCTGAGGCAGGGCTGTGGCTTGAAGGTCATCTGTGGAGTGAGCCAGGTCCTTTGACCTGGCCTGCGAGGATCGGGCCAAAACTGGCTCTCCCACATCTCCTGAGGGGTCCCAGATTGTGCGAGGGTGGTTCTCAGGTGACGCACCTCAGAATCAGGCTCTCTCCTCTCTGGTTCCAGGTGCATCACATGAGAACAGCTGCTGCCAAGTCACCACAGCTCAGCAGCTCCTGCATTGAGCATCTTCCCCCTGGTGTTCAGTGCATGTCATAGCTATCATTCAGATAGTTGCTTAGCCTTTTATATATATAGATAGGAATAGCAACAGCAGGAACAGCTAACATTTAGTGAGCCTTTACAATGTACAAAGTACATATATTAATCATTTCATTTATCATTTCAACTACAGTATGAGATAGGTATTTTGTTATTATTCTCTCTTTACAGGTGAGAAAACTGAGGCATAGTGAGATTAACCAAGTTGCCCAGGAGAACATGTTAGTGAGTGACAGGATCCAGGATTCCACTGCAGGCTCCCCAGAGTTCCCTCAGCTTTTCAGACTCCCAGGCTCCCAGGGATGCTCACACATCTTGGTGATTTTCACAACTGGTGTCATAGACTATGCTAATTAAACACTCTTTTTGTTGATGCCACACCACACACACTAAATTGTTATGGAATCTGTAGTAGTAACAGATGTCTTCAGGAGTAATGAATGGTGTGGACAGTGACTGTCTAGCAACACAGTGATGATCTATCAGAGTTGTTAAGTATGGGCTAATCTGTATCCTCCACTACAGATATGCCTAAAGACCCTGTGATGGCATCTCAGGAAAAGGGAGAGTGTCATCAGTTTGAATTCTAGACTGTCCCTGTCCCCCTTCCTTTCCAAAGTTTTCCCTGACAGGTTTCTCCTTGAAAGCAAAATGAGACAGCAGAGCCTCAGTCATCCCTCCCTGTTGGGCAGTCCCCTACTGGTGGTTAAGCTTTAAATATTCATTATGTAATGAGCTGCCTTGCATGTAAGCCCCTGAGTATTTTATTACTACAATTTAATAGCAAGAAGTGTATCACCATTCAGTCACATTTCATTTACTCATAAGCAGTTACATCACTGCTCACAGATATATATTTGTACATGAGTGGCTATGAGTTTTCAGGGTATAATGAATTTGAAAATTTAATCTACAGATTGGCAGTATTTAGAATCTTACTGAGAAAGTAAGAATACATAACACTAGCAAAATACAAAGCAACTGACATACAATTACAAGAAAAATGGCCTCAAATGTACTATACGAAGAATGGGGGTTTTGTAACCAGTCGATTGAAAAATAGTACATAGTATACATCCATATCCCAGGGGCCTCAGAAAGGACCGATCAGAATAAGAGGAGGTCAATGAAGGAATAATTCTCAAAGGAAATTAGATTTTTAAATCTGAATCTCAAGAGAAAAACTGAATATAATTGCTGAGCTGGATGGGGAGAGTATCTCAGAGAAAAATACAGCAGAGTGAGGGGGGAGGCTGATGCAAACACAGGCCCTGGACAAGAGTTACTGCCCCTGAAAATCTGTAGAATAAAAGTTGGTGTGCTAGTCCCACCTCCTACTGTAAATAGAAATTCTCCTGGAACCTATAGGATCAAATCACTCAAGAAAGCTCTTGAGGAAAGGCATAAAATCCCTTTCATGTAATTGGTACTTTTTGCATCTTTTCCAAGGCTAAGGAAAGAGTAGCACTGTCCTCTCATTCCCTGACATTCCTTCCAGGGGCAGGCAGCCTGGTCAGTGATCGGAAGGGCCCTGTCCAAGGGTCACACAGCCCGCCTCTCCCGCAGCCTGTTCCAGGAGCCAGCTTTCCTCACTCAGGGACACTGGAGACCCCAGCCTTCCAAACCAGCTAATTACCCTGCCAGCAGGAAATCCTTCCCCATCTCCCAGACAATCTGCTTACAGTGAGCCTGTGATTAACCTCATTAGCACATGTGTTTACCACCGACAGCATTAGCAGACAGTCAGACATTACTCAAAACCATTACAAACAAGAACAGCCATTAGCCTGTTCAGGGCTTTGGGCCTGGCACTCCTACTGTAGGCCTCCAGGAGCAGTTAGCCAGGCACCATGGTTAAGAGATAAAGGCTCACAGGAAACAAAACACACACATTCAGAGTCCTTTGTGGGTGCCTGGAGGATTATGCTCTCCGTCCAGCTACCCGAGGATTGCAGTCCAAGGAGTGTAAACAGCATGCCCCATTCCTCCAAGTAGAGATCACTGTGCCCTGACGGGGGAAAATATGTTACTTCTAGAAACCTAAGCAGCAGAGCTCTGAATTGGGACAACCAAAATAGCAACTCCCTGTCCCTCAGCTGCTCTCAGAAACTAATTAATGCTGTAGATGTGCCTTGCTAATTATTTCAAAATCACCACCATCCTGAGAGGTCCCACTGGAGACCCGCGCCTCCCAGAAGTCTTCTTCCCTGCCTAGGGTACATTCCTGCGCCCTCCTGGTAAGAGATAGTTCATTCAGAATCAGTACGCACAAGTTCACTGTGTTGATCTCAACTCCTAGAGCAGGTGTGGGCAACCTTTTTGTGAGTGTGTGCCAAAACCTTTCATCTGTCAAGCTACTCCTATTACGAGACTTAACAAAATTCATCACTGAGAATAAAGATTCACAAGCGTATGTAGATGAAACCAAAACACTGGTCGGATCTAGGAAGGCAGGGAGAGTTAAGGCAAAGGCATAGAAATTGTTCTTCTTTTCTCTTCTCCCCAATCAATGTCTATGGTCTTTAAGATAACTTGTTATGTAAAATTATTTATTTATCTAAGATGCACCTACACTGAATTTATCTGAAAAATAAAAAGTCGATATTAAGAAAAAAATTGTAAATGGAAGATTGTAAAAGAGAGTTCCGCGTGCCAGCAAAAGTTACAGGCATGCCATATTTGGCACGCGTGCCAGGGGTTCCCCACCCCTGTCCTAGAGCTCAGTGCCAATTTCATGAGTATTTGAGTCATGACTTGTAGTTTCAGGGTTTCTCCGCCTGGTGTAAGGCATATAAGAAGTCTGTGAATTTAGCTGAAAAGTATATACCCATAGATTATGGATGCAGTCACCCTCAGAAGTATTGGCCCTGTAACTATGACTTTATCCCTATAGAAATCACATATATCTCCATATCACACATCAGCTATCTTGAAATATCATTTCTATGTGTTTATATTTGAATATCATTAATTCAAAATTATGGACCTTGTACTTACCATAAAATATTTTTATTTAATATCTTTATTATGAAACACATCAGTTTATTACAAATTAAGTTAATATATTCGTAGCTCTATTTCCATCTTATTGATTTCTTTTGTAATCCTGTCTATTTTATTTTATGCGTTCATTTAAATCATAGCCTGCGAAGGGGTTCAGGGTTTTACCATACTTTCAAAATGCTGACAAAAATAAAGTTAAGAAGAGGCAGAGCAGCATTGAACAGACAGACTGTCAAACTACAGCGGAAGGGAGTTAGGGGCGGGGGTGTGTGGCAAGAGATCAACCAAAGGACTTGTATGCATGCATATAAGCATAACCAATGGACTCAAGACACTGGGGTGTAGGGGGAATGTCAAGGGGTGGGGGGGAAGGAGAAATATATAATACTCTTTGTAATACTTTAAGCAATAAAACAAAATTTAAAAAAAAGAATCTTTAACTCAGACTTATGCAAATGCTTAAATCCTTGCATATTAACTTTTCTAAATTGATTTAACATATCAATTCTTGAATTTCTATGTGTTTATATTTCTTTGCCTTTCCTCCTAGCAATTGCGTCAAGCCAAGGAGTTGATACTCAGTTTGTTCATGACTTGCTTTACTTTCTCTGTTTTGGACATCTCAGGTTCTTATTTTCTATCACTGCCCCTTCTACAAGCAATACCCCTTCTTGTGGCCTGGAAAGAAGATACCAGCACCCTGGGCAAATACCACCAGTGTGCGCAAACTAATCCTCTTCTTGGAGACCACTCTGAGTGAGCGGGCCCCACATGGCTCCTTCCATGTCTCTCAAGCAATTCTCACCCCCAGAGCAAAGACCATCGCCCGAGGCCTGGTTGGTGGCCTCAAGAACACACTGGTTCACAGGTAAGAATTTACTCCCATCTCCAGAGTAAAGTTATTTTTTTAATGTATTTTTATTCTCTTCTGAATAAACAGCAGTAAAACCATACAGTTTGAAGATTTAAAATACTGCAAGAGAAAATACCTTATCTGAAAAAGCTGTTCATTTGAGGTAGCTTGCATTAACTGAGTCCATAGGAGTTCTAAATACTTTATTAAAACGTACATATTACACCATAAATACGTTCTAAGTTTTGATGCTAAAGTATAGCCCTTGAAGCCAACATCAGCCTGTTCACCTCTAGCACGGGGTGCATCCTGTGCTTGCCACTGTCCTCTTAGCTGTCCCAAGTACTCACTTATGAAGCATTAAATGTGACTTCTGTGCTAGGTGCTAGGGATTCAGAGATAACACTTCAAAGATTTGGGATGTCCTTCCCCTTCCACCATGACAATGAGTCCTAAGAAGTGGCTTAGGGTGCCACCAACCATGCTATAGCTTTAAATACTTCCACAGAGCAGATCAATCCTGACTGTGCGATTAGGCAGGAGAATCTCCAGAAATTTTGTATTAGATTATGTTCTTTATGCTGGACACCAATAGATGATAAGTGTTGTCAAGAAAAAGGTTGCTTTCTGGCTGGTGTGGTACAGTGGTTGAGCATCCACCTATAAACCAGGAGGTCATGGTTCAATTCCTGGTCAGGGCACATCCCCGAATTTCAGACACAATTCCCAGTAAGGGGCATGCAGGAAGCAGCTGAACAATGATTCTCTCTCATCATTAATGTTTCTGTCTCTCCCTCTTCTCTTCCTCCCTGAAATCAACAAAAATATATTTGGAAGGAAAAAAAAAGGATCATATATATATATATGATAGGGTATCCTTTTCAATCCAAGCTGAGGAATCTAACTTGCTTGGGTTACAAGGGATAGTTGCAAAAATCACTTTGGTTCTGGAGTTCCAGGTGGTGAGCATCAGAATTCAGACAGTGAAAGATTCATCCAGAAGCATGTTCCTATTTGCTTGTTTGGCTCTGAGTCTGGATAGCATGCCTTCAGATAGCAGGAGTTCACCTGGCAGGAGTGTGGGTAGTGAGAAACACCGGGATTTCTCTTTCTCGGTGGCAGTTCCTGGTGACATGGCCATGAACAGTACCAGAAGCCCCTTTTTGTGGGTCTCTACTGAGTCTGGACTGAATTGCTTGTGCTGAATTTGGAAAAGAGCATATCATAAACTAGCAATATATCTCTGAAAGATCCAGAATTATGAACTTTCTTTTCTATAATATATTTTCACTTATGCATACCATTTCCCCCATACCTTTGATAAATTTGTAGACTAACATTACTTATTTATTTGTTCATTTAACAATGACGGAGAACCTAGGAGCAGCTAGGTCCACAGATACCAGATGAATAATGCAGTCTCTGCCCTCGCGAACTTACAGTCCATCGGAACAAATAAACATACACATTTCTATCAAACAACATGAAAATCACTATTATAAACATCTGTGCAGAGAGCTGTACTAATGAGGAGAGGGCATACTTAAAAATAAGGACAGGTTACGTGTGTATACTGTGTTCTGAATGTACAGTACCCTCTTGCAGATGACTTCGTTTCATTATTAAATCCAACCAGCCTCTAGGAGGGCACATTGTCTGGGGCACATGATCACCCCATTTCAGGTGGGGCTCAGTAAGCTTCCATGGCCAGGACCCACGTAGCTAGTAAGAGGCAATGATGTGTCTCAAATGGGGACCGCGTATTGCTGGACTGTAGCCCTTTTCAGTGCTCAGCATTGACTTGATGTAGATGTTTCAGAGCCCCGTTCTTTTCTGCTCCACTGGCCTGGGATTGTCTTACTAGCACCTGAATCTGGTCAGATCTTACTGGTTACAAGTACCAACCCACAGTGTCACAATGCTTTTCATATTCATAAATTCCTAGAGTTTTAATCTGGCTTCAAGTGAAGCATACGGCTCTGTGACTTAGCGCTAACGATGGCGGCCGGTGCCCAAAGCCAATTCACCCTAGCATGCCAGAGCCCTTGCCTGCTGGTGGCAAGCAGATGTCTCCGAGACGGAAACATACTCGGGCATCTCGACTCCATCTGGTCACACGAATATTGCAGGGATACACCCTGCATTCCTAGGCTCCACATCATCTGAAGGAGGAAATTCAGCTGTGGTCAAGCGTTGGTCCCCTCACACCAGCACGACCTGCGGCTGGCATTTCCTCTGGGCTGTTGGACAAGCCTAGGAAAGAAGCAGGTGGCCCAGAGCCTGCCCCTGAGTGCAACACTGGAAAGTCAGTCCTAACTAAGGCACACAGGAGTATGTCAGACTGGTCCTGGCACTGGCCATCAGCTTAGCCAAGAGAAAGATGACAAGGCATCTTTCTGCTTTGGTTCTTGAGTTCAGGTGGTGAGCATCAGAGTTCAGACAGTGAAAGATTGTCCTACAAGTGTAGAGGTGGTATTCTCAGCAGAGAGTTAACTGTCCCCCTCACCCCGGACTGTTAAGTGAATTTCAGACCTAAGATCCCATTTCCTTGGTTCATTACTCTAAAAGGAAGCTAAGACTAGAATTCCAACTGGATTTCTATGATAGTTTTCCCTAGATTGTTAGACACCTTGCACTTCCACCAAAATGAACTGAAAGGAAATCTTGCCTATGCCTGAGGACAGAGCAGCCATGGGACTGTGGACGTGGATGGGAACAAGGGCTGAAAGCAGAGGCCTGAGGTTCAAGCCTGACTTGGTCCTTGTACGTCCTGAGTCATGTTCCCTGAAAAGTCAGTGCTGAAGCCCAGTAGATACAGTGTGACTATATTTGGAGACAGGCCTCTAAAGAGGTGATTAAATTAAAATGGTTTCAGTTAGAGTGGGATCTAATTCAATCTGCCTGGTGCTTTTACAAGAAGGGGAAATTTGGGCATACAGAGAGACATCAGGGATGTGGGCAGAGGGAAAAGGCCATGTGAGGACACAGAGAGAAGGGAGCCATCTACAAGCCAGGGAGAGAGGCCTAGAAGAAACCAAACCTGCCAACACTTTGACCTTGGACTTCCAGCCCCCAGACTATGAGAACATAAGTTTCTGTTGTTTAATGCCACCCAGTCTGTGGCATTTTCTTATGGCAGCCCTAGCAAACAAATGCAGTCCCTTAACAACAGAAAGGGCTTTGACAAGTTTGCTGAGGTTTCCTCACCAGTTAAATGGGGTTAATAATACCATATAATATTTTAGAGTCTTCACATGAAAATGCCTACTACAGTACCTGGCACAAAATAGGTACGTCATCCTATTGGCAGGCAGATGTCTCCCTGTGTACGGAGACCCAGAAACATGGTGCAGGGGGCCTCATGGTGCAGGGGCCTCCAAGTCAAAGGGAAGTTCCTAGCCTCCTGCCCTGCAGCCCAGGGGGGGTCGGTGCCCACAGTCAGCAGCGCCCGACTCGGCCTGTCCACTGACCTCTCATCTTGGTAAATGTCGGGAGTTAAGAAAATAAAGTAGCTCCTCCTCACGGTGGATTCTACAATTCCCTTTCGTTGTACATAACCCTGGTTATTTGACCCTGACCTTGGTTGACACCTGCAACCCGAAGCTGACACAGAGCTCGTTGTCATCTGAGACTGCAGGTGCATGCCTTTCCCCCATTTCTCTGCCCAGGTTCCAGGGATCCCTGGAGGTTTGGCTCTGGCTGGAGTCAGCTGGAGTTGCCACCGAGCCTTCAAGTCTCATTTCCCCAGGATAACCAGAAGATGGCGCCTGTATTTCATACTTAAACATCCACGAACTTAAGTCTTGAATGAGTCAGTGTTTTGTGGCCCTCATATGAGCCATTGTGTATTCCAGGTCTTTGTCTCTCAGAGCAGACTGGATTTGGGGCCCTTCAATCTCAGGCCACAACATTTTGCCACGTAGGTGACAGGATGTGACAATCACATTAGGAAAGTTCCGTACCCCAGCACCCAAATGCCTCTGCCTCACACTATACCATCTATGATTCCTTCTCTTTTATGGAACACTTAGATAGTGCTTGACTATGTCCCCGACACAGTTCTAACCACTTTACATGCAATTAATTCTCACATATGAAGTTTAGGGGGAGAAACTGAGGCACAGAGAAATTGAATCAGTTAAGGTCAAATTGGGGTTATTATGTTGTCAGGAGTCCCAGTTAGAAAATGGAAGTACCCCTATGATGGTGGTCTATTAAATCAGAATTAGTGAAGAATGTAAAAGTATAAATCAATTTATGAGATGTGTTTTTGCCCATTGCCAACTGTAGCGCCCACTGAGTGAGGGAAGAGACATGGGCTGTTTCTAGCTGTCATGACAAGAGGGAAATAAAGAGGAGAGGGTCAGAATGCTGCCACAGCCTTGATAGGTCTTCTAGGAGAAGAATGAAGTCATGGTGTGTATTCAAAGAAGGGAGGGCAGCTTTGAGGGAGCAAAGGATAGGAAGTGACAACCCAGGAGAGTGTCCCCACAGAAGAGAAAGGGGCCCATTAAGACAATAAACTTCACTTATTTTCTATTTTGGCCTAGAGCAAATTCTTCCTAATTAGTCTCTTGTTTCTTAACCAAAATATAAACCCTAATCTGTATCTTCCTTAAACCATTTTCAACATATCGAGTATGTAGCGAGCTATTTTTACCATGATGCAAAACTATGATGACACTTCATAGCTCCCTTCTCTCTACCTCCCATGGTATTTTACACTTACCACTAATATAGAAAGTATGACATTAAATTGTCAGCATTGTTTATGTTACTAGATTATGAGCTTCTTTGGCAAAACATTCTATCACATAGAAAGCCCTCAAACTATAAAATGAGACTGACAGAATGTTGTTTGTGAAACACTGAGTAAGCAATTGTCTATTACGAAGGCACACATGCTGCTGGAATGACTGTATATGCATATGGAAAAGGCGAACCTTGACTCCTATTCATACCATATATGAAAATTAACCTGAAACAGATCTAAGATATAAACATAAAAGCTAAAACCATAAGTTTTTAGAAGAAAACAGGAAAATGCCTTTGTGACTTGGGAATAGGCAAAAGTTTCTTAGGTTGGTCACAGAAACCATTTTAAAAAATTGATGCTAGACTTCATCCACATTAAGGAATTCAGCTCACTGAAATATTCCAGTAAAATAATCAATAGGCAAGTTCAGGCAGGGATATAATATCAAAAAATATATCTGACAGAAGACTTGTATCCAGATATATAAATAACTTATAACTTAATAGCTAAAGAAAAAAAGTAAAAGAAATTGGACAGAAGATATACAAATGGCCAATAAATACATGACAAGCAGCTCAACATCAGTAATGATTAGAAAAAATGCCAATTAAAACCCTATGAGATATCTTTACACACCCACTAAATGGAAAAGTTAAAAAGACTGATAGCATCAAATTTTGGAGAGAATGTGAAGCAACCAGACTCTCACATTTTGTTAATGGGAATGTACAATGGAACCACAGCTCTTTGGGAACAGATCTGGAAGTTTCTTATAAACCTAAAAGCAAATCTACCACATCATAGAGCAGTTTCACTCCTTGTTATTTACCCAAGAGATGTGAAAATAAATGTCCACTAAAAGACTTGTATAAGAATGCCCCGACCTAAAATTTTATTCATAAAATCCAAAAACTGGAAACAGCCTGTTTATCCACTGATAGGAAAAAGGATAAAAAAATTACAGTATATTCATGCAATGGTATACTATGCAGTTACTTTTAAAAGGAACAAAGTACCGATCCATTCATCAACATGGGTGAATTTCAAAACCATTTGTTGAATGAAAGAACCTCACACACAAGAATACATGTTGCATGCCTTATAAGAAGTCCTAGAACAGCCAAATTTAATCTGTGGTAGAAAAAAATCAATGTAATTGTTGTCTCTAGGAGGACTGGGGGACAGGACTTGAAGGGGAAGGTATATGCAGGAGCTTTCTGGGGTGCTGATAAGGTTCTAAACCTTGATATGGGTATGTGTTCTGTGTATACATTTGTCAAAACTCAACTGGTATACACTTAAGACTTGTGCACTTTACTGGATATAAATTTTATGTCAAAAGAAAACTTGTAAACAAATATGGAACCCTAGTTAATGATATGCATACTGAGGTGTTTGGGTGATGGGTATAGCCGTTAGCAGTTGGAATTTGTCAAAAATATAAGCTAGATTGATGGAAAGATAGAGCGACAGATTCATGGATAGATATGTGATAAGCAAGTATAGTAAAATGTTACTAGTAAAACCTACATGGTGGATATGCTTATTGTAAATGTCTTTCAGTGATTTATGATGAAAAGTTTTATGATAAAAATAACCTACTAATCATTAAACTTTTGATATTAGTTTTTAAGGTCCTGTTCACATGGATCTCTTTGGGGTTAATATCCTCTTCCAGCACAGAAACCCTGAAAGTACAATTCTCTAGTGGAATAGACATCACTTTGCCCCTGAAAGAGATATGAAGCTTAAATGGACTAATTCTGGGTGCTCAAGCTTTTATTGGCATACTCTTGTTACATTAAGGGAAATGTTTTGTTTCTATTACTGGAGGAGTCCTTCTAAACTCTACTCTCTCTTCTCTCCCCCACAACATTCTCCCTGTGTAGGAACCTTCCTGTCATCCTGGACTGGGTAAAAACTCAGAAGCCTGGAACCATGGGTGTCAACATCATCACGTCTGACTTCGTGGACCTGGTGGACTTTGCCACGACTGTCATTGAATTGAATGACCTCCTACAGGAGGATAGAGCTTTGGCTAAATGCTGATTCAATTTTTATTTATCTTAATATTGAATCTTTTGATCCAGGCTAGAGTTCTGAAGGGTTTTCTGTTAGGATGGCCCCTGGGCAGTGATGGTGAAGTGAATAGAAGGAGGGTGTTTTTTCTTTTTCCCCTCCTCACAGGGCCATTTGGATAAAATTGAAGATCTTTTCATTGCATTTTTCCCAGTGAGACTTTTGAAAAACTTAAGTCCAAGGGAAGAAAGCATGTTTCATGAGATCGAGGCGAGGATTTCCTCAATGGTTTATGATGTTGAATGTTATATGGAAATGGAGTCTCCAAGATACCTTGGGGTATTGTGTGTCCTCCTACTAGGCCTAGTTCCCTGTTGTCTTCCAGGGTGTTGTGTTTGAGTCAGTGAGAAAACTGAACCAGAAAAGCATTCCTGGTCAAAAGAATCACTCCTTGCAGGTGTAGACTGCCCTGTGCGGTGGCTCTACTATCAGCTTGGGCTTTGAGGGGAGAAAGGGCCAAGCACCAGTTCTCTCTAGACATGTTGAATGTCACCACTTTATCCCTGAGAGAGTAAGACATTTATCACCAAAGTATTTCAGCTACAAGCTGTTCTTGCATAGCTTATCCTTGGTAATTAGTCAACTTCATTCTTCAGATAAACAGTGCAGACTGCCGTTGGTGTCAGAAATGTGTTTCCCACTTTTAAAGCATTGATTCCTTTCTCTTTGTTTTGGCCTCTTCTTAAAAGTGAAAGGAACAAGGACCAGAGATATTTTCATTGTGGGGCCCAACAATAGACAGACATGCATGTTTGTTGCACGCCAGATTTTTTTTAAAATTCAATTCTGTAGCTTTTCCCAAAATGGCTGCCAGGTAAGCACTTCCATCATTTGGTCAAAATCGTTTTCGGAGTAGGATCTTCAAGCCAGATCTTGGAGTTGCATTTCTTTGTTGTCTGCCTTGGACTTGGTTCTATGCCATGGGACACAATGCTAATGGAAGGGAGCTTGTCTGTGACAACGCGGCAGCAGACACGGATGCATGGAAAGTGCAACGGATTTAAGGAGGACACGCCAAGTGAGTTTGGAGCCATTCTGTAACTCCTTGAAAACAAGACTACCTCGGGGGACATTTAGGATGACTTGGATGTCGTCGAGTGAGAAATACCCAGTGTTGGAACATTTCCAGTCTGTGTCTTCCTTGTGCTGAGCCTAGTAATCACCACTGCATGAGGGCTTTGAAACTCACAAGGGAATTTTTTTTTTATTATTGATAAGAGGTGCTTATCCATAAAAAGCTCTCTTGAGTTTTATTTATTAACTTATTTATTTATAGATTAAGTATATTCAGTGCTTCTTACCTCATGAGCACTCACCAAGGAGCTTCCTGAACTTTCTTACCCAGGCCCGATGCTGCCATGGTCTTCCTCCTTAGCAGGACCATGCATCTCAGGACTGTGAGTGACCTGCGACTCTGCTATAGATGTCCTGGCTCCTCAGTCAAGAGGGCGGACGGGGTTCGTGTGTGGGCGTGGTCCAGATTTGAGAAGCCACTCGCAAGCCACACGCTGGGGCAGATGATGAAAAGGGTAGTGAAGAACTCTCAGTTCTTGAGGAAGACCCTCCAGAAAAGGGTTGAAAAGAAAGCAGCCGGGAAGAAAGCTGAGCATGGGAATGCGTGCGCTTCAATGCTCCTAAGAACTGCCTGAGAATCTCCAAGGAAGTGTTAGCTTCCAGGTTCCAAAGGAGAAAAGATAAGCATGCAATCCTGGGTGGCTGTGTGCATGTATACACATCGCTGGACCACCTCCCAGTAGTTTCCCATTTCTACTTTTCAATGCTCATGGCTGGATTTGCATGCTGCCTGCAGTGGGGGGTATCCTAGAGTTGCTACTAAAAGCACATGCACACCCCCAATTCTTGGTCTTCCAACCTTTACTCCCTGTGAAGGAATTTAAGCTCTGACCTTTAGCGTCCACAGCTTGAGGAGGTCATAACACAAATGCCTCTTCTGGGCATTAACTTTTCTTACATTTGGGCTCCTCTCCAAAGAGGTTTCTGAGATTTTTTTTGTCAAATTCTTTAGGGCCTTCTATGGAAAGGAGTAAGGAAGTGAGTGCCCTCACTTTCTCCATTTCCCTTCAATTCTGATATTAAACTCCAGTGATGAGCTCTGAAATCCCTGGCCCACCCTCAGGGTTTTATTTGTTGTTATTGTTTCATTTGGGTCTTGTGTTTAATTCATGCTCAATTGCTAGGGACTAGATCAGTTCCCCTCTTTAACCCTTTGTTACTTGGCAAAGAGATAAGGAGGCAAGAGGAGAATTCTTCTCTGTTTTATTTGAGCCTCAGCTTTGTCCAGGTGCTTGGTGCTACGAGGCCAGGTGTGTGACAGGTGTCTACACAGGATACCAGTGACACTCAAGGGCTGCTGACTGTTCAGTGAAATGTTTACTTGATTTTTTTTCCTTTAGTTTTAAAATATATAGTTGC